TATATATATATATATATATTATCTTAAAATATGAAAATTAAAAACTGTGTGTCATTTTATTCCTTCTTCTCTTCATTATAACCAATAACAGCTTTAAAAAATTTCAGGTACATGACCTTATTCCTCCTAAAATTTGAAATTAGACAACTTAATTGTGTATTGCTTGAATTTTGCAGTAATTATGAACACATCTGACTAAATTTCATGCATCAAAATCAAAGTAATAATTACTGAAGACTAATTATCTTCTCTGTATAATAACAAGTGTCAAGTTTCTAACATATTTTTTTAAATATTTTCTAGTTCATGTTGAGTAAAAAATACTCACCAAGTAGACGAGTTGTTGTGTTACCAGCAGCAATCATAGCCTCTCTGTGGTGTCCTACAGCAGGCAACTTTGTTGCTACAACTCTATGAGCACCAATGTTTCCAAGAGTATAAACATTTGATTCTCCTTAAAGAACAGAGAAATCTTCATAAGGTACACATGAAATTAAAAATTAAGTTTGGTCAAGTCCAAAATTTCATTTTTAAAGTATCAGTTTATTAAGCTGAAAAAACCAACAATCTTATTTTGAATCAAACCTATAAAGTAATAAGTATATACATTTGTCTAAAGATATAACTACTTATCAAAGCAGAAATAAAAATTTCTAAACGAAAAAAACATAATTTTGTTATTACTCACATAAACAAAAATATGCTATAAAAAATTCTGAAATCCTTTTTTAAGAGTTAATGTTGTCTGTAAAAAATAAAAATTCAGGATGAAAGATGAGTGTTTTTATAAAAGTTTAAAGGTTAAACAAGTTTAAAACTGGTATACACAGAAAGTGTCACAATTCCCACGTTTTTTTGAACCTCATGATCATTACTTAAAATGAGAACATGAAATCAAAGAAACACAAGATGCCCAATATATATATAAATAAATTACTTTTTTAAACTTTCATTAGTGCTTTAAAAGTGGATTATGTAAAAAAATCATCTATTCCATAAATGATATTAGGAGAAATTAAGATATTGAATCCTAATTAAATTAAAACGATGTTTTATATATCATCTTACCTTCGGTCTTATACCTAACGTAGGTGTCTTTATTTTCTATCATAGCATCGACTGCCACTTTCTCACAGTACTGAGCTGTGATTATGGCTATTGAGGGTTGCTGGGAACTGACAACAGTTGGAACTTGACGTACCATCTTCACTTCTATAATTTGGAGAAAGAAAACATTTTAATATGCAAGGCCATCTAACGATGAGTTAAAGAGATTTTCTTCAAGGGATCAAATAAATTTTTTATGATATAGTTTCAATGTCTCGATGAGTTAAAGAGATTTTCTTCAAGGGATCAAATAAATTTTTTATGATGTAGTTTCAGTGTCTCGATGAGTTAGAGATTTTCTTCAAGGGATCAAATAAATTTTTATGATGTAGTTTCAGTGTCTCGTGTAAGAATACAGCAACCCAATGCAGTTCATCAACAAAATTCTGATAAATTACAAAATATTTCAGATTTTCTATTTTTCACATTCAATTGCTGAAGAAATACAACGCTACTCTTTCAATCATGGGAGGTTGGATCTGTATATTATGTGTACATATACATGTGTGTGTGAGTGTCTGTGTGTGTGTGCATATTCAGTGGTATAAACTGGGCCAATTATATACCTTTTATGGATAAATTAAATTATTCAAAAAAAAAAAAATGTAACTTATTTTCAAGAATCATTAAATGAAATAAATTGCCTTTTTTTTCTATATTTCTGTGTGTTAAGGTGAACTCTATTACCATACTTTACTCATTTCTAAATCATTTCAATAATAAAATGCATACCTGTATCATTCTGGGTGACTCTGGTGTAACTGCCATTTTCCAAAGACTTAATGATTCCTTTTGACTTGAGTTCACCGAGATGTAAAAGAACCTCCTCTTCGGTACACTGTAATGTTCTAAATAATAGAGAAAACAGCAATTGCTACCCATTCCAGTGTGCTCATCAATACAGAAAACATTCTTAGCTTTATTTTATATAAAAACATTAAATAATCATGGTTTTCTGATAAGTAAAGCCCAAAGAAACGTAATTACATTTATATTTAACACAAGTCCATACACTTAATTATTAATTCTTTATCTCCATAATTTTGTCAAGTATTTAAAAAATTACATCATTTTGGTCAGGTGGCTGAAATCAGTTGTTCTCTAAGTCAGAAATCTTCAGAAACAAAATACAGTAATAATTATTTATTCATTTAACAGTAGAAAAACATGGAAAAACTGTTAAAAACAACGAATAATGCATTTAATGTAGGATATAATAGTAGAAATTTTAGTACATAAAAATTTTGGTACAGTTCAGTTTTAAGCTGAACAAATAACAACACTCGGGTAGGGAGAAGAACAAATTTTGAAAACGAGAAACATCTAAACTGAACTAAAAGCATTTGAACAACATTATTATTTTTTTGGAACGAAAGATAAAAAAAAGAAAAAATGAAGCATACATCACACTAAAATTAATTTAGTTATCCCTGTTAACCCTCTTTTGCACATTTTAATATACAAATGACAAATCTATCGTCTTTGCTTAATATAAGTACAAATGTTTCAATTCTGTAGTTGACTGCTCTTACATCCAGGTAACAGTCTAAATAAGCCATAGGAATATTTTTGTAGGTATATCAACTGAACAATGTTAGTTCTAGGTAATGACCATTTATAAATTACTAAAATATATTTCACAAAAATGTATTTTTTTGTGCAATATGTCTATTTAAGTAAAAATTTCAAAGAAAAAAGCTTCCACTTTATTTTCATAATGTACGCAATAGAGGGTTAAAACAGGTGTGCCTGCTGAAAATTAAGGACTGAAATGAGATTGGAAGTGACTAAAAAAAAGTTTCAGGTCAACCTACTTGGTTAAGTCTGTGATTGTGAGAGGGTTAGGGTAAGCTGATTCAATTATTTCCAAAACTTTCTCTTGAGTAACATTCATTATACCACCAGTCATACTCTCTTCTACAGATACTGCAACAATATCATTATAAACATTTATTTAGCTTTTCTTTAATTTATTATAAAAAACCATTACCTTGAGTTTTTATACAGCTGATAAAATACTTGGATTACAGCTCTTTGTACAAGGTATCCCCCCCTCCACTTTTTCTTGTGTGTGTTTTTATGACCTTATATATTTTTATAATAGGTGGATTCCAATATATCTGGCTCATTTTGTTACAAAAATTGGTAAAGTAATTGAATGATAAAATACCTTAAGGAAAAAAATATTTTACAGCAAATACCCAGATATAATATTTAGTAACTTAATAAAGATAATTATTATTATAGTTTTGTTATTTCAATAAACCTTTAAATATACCAGTAGTATTTCAATACTTTTTTTTTATAAAGTTGTTGAGTTTCATACACTTCCAATCTATGAATGTTGGAATAATTGAAGGAAAAGAATAAAAAAACAATAATTGAAAAACAACTGTTTATATTTGTATATATACTAATTTGAAATTATTATGTATGAAAATAACAGACTTACAACTGAACACATCTTAGGGATAAAAGTAAGTAACCATGCAGATATTTGTTGTTTACATGAAGCCAGCAACCCTGACTAGACATCAATAAGCACAGAAAGTTAGATAAAAAAACTGGCAAGCATTTCTTCTTTAACAAACTTAATATTAAAATTTTATGTTAGTTGACACAACACTACAGTGTCTCAAAGTTATATGTTGAAGACATAGGCATTTGGGGTGGGGGCACAGATTTCAAAATAGGGGCAGAGGTATATTTCTGCCCCCACAGTTTCAGGGCCAAATCATAGAAACCATTCACTAAAATATATAATTAAATGCATGTAAAAAACACAAAAAAGAGACTTTATACAACAACTTAAAAAAAAAACACATCTCAACGGTATGCTCTGATGCATATGATTGAAGAAACACCAAAATTCAATGTCAGAAATGTTTAAAAATACACGAACTGTTAGTTTACACAATTTATATTACATTATCTCAGAATTCTGTATTTATGGCGTAACTCGACTTCTATACGAGACAAGTTTTAAAGAAAAAGCTTCATTTTCACACTACCCTGTCTCAAAGTTTTTAATCAAATGGGAATAAAAATTTAATATAACAAAGGTCTATAGGAAATTATCTACTAGTTAACGTCATTCACGTTAAATAGCCTCAGTAGCACTGAGTAGCAGATTGGTATTTCAACCAAGTTCAGGGTTGTTACATATTATCAGATCAGCCTTTTCATCAACTGAGGTATATTTGTAACTTAAGTAGTTTGTAAAACTTAAACACATAAATATACAGGAGAAAATTCATGGCTCAAATTTTTCATTACTATTTGTTAAGTTGTATAGAAAAATACTAAAAATTACTGAATACATTTTTCAGTTCACTTCGTCTTTTTTTTTTACTTTATATAAGCACAAGTTTTTGACAGGGAAGTAGTAAAATCAAAAATTACATAAAATGAAAAATGGATCTTATTGAACTAGAAGAATAGGTATTATCTGGAAAATTTTCAGTTGTTTTTACCATCTTATAGTTATTTGTTTGTAACTTTTTCCCTGTCTCAGGCACGATGATTGGTTCATAGTTTGAAGATTACTCTTAGGCTGACTTGGGGATAAGTTGATTGCAGAATGC